AACAAATATTTATTAAACCTTAATTCAATGAATAACGTTCGTAAATCTACTCTTATAAACGTCAGCCTGCCAAAGGTTAAGACTGTACTCCTTCGACGTGACAGATTGTCGATACACAGAAATATGAGTGAAGCATTTCAAATTTTACGTTACACTAAAAGCGTAACGAAGCCGACGTTTAATGGCTGGCTAACATTGTAAGTCGATTACAGTTCGTCCGAGTCGTCGGGTGTCGATTTTATTAACGGGGATGATTCTTCAGCGGCCGCGTTAATCCGCGGATCGAGTGGACATGTCCGGTCGTCGGGCCGATATCAAAGTTAACGATCGTCTTAGTGTAATGTGGATCGAGAAACTGATACGACCTAAGCTGCCGCATTAAAGTTTAAGCCGAGCTTTCCACGGTGACTCGCTCGTCTGCAGAAATACGTTTCGCGTCGGAGTCGTTCCTTTAAGTCGAATTTAGAAATCGACTCCCGGGAAATGCGATTCCCGCGGGAGTTCCAGCCCCCGGTAAATACCATGAGAAAAGGAGGAAAGAAATCATGACGCTCCTCCTTTTATCAATCGGGGAACGTTCGTTCGACTCCTCCGACGGAATATTTCGATCTTTGTCTGAAAGGAACCATTCTACTTAACGTAAAAGGGATACTATACCGTCAATTTTCAATAAACAGTCGACTATTATTTCGACTATTGAACGACCTCTGAGAAATTCTTTGATCAGTTTCGATTCAGTGTGTTCTATTTTCAGTTTTGGGGTTTGTGTTTTACGTTGACTATTTCCAATAGTGAAATTTAGGATTGGAGAATAAAAGATTTGTGTTTGCATTTCGAAACGTTGATTTCTGGATTTTAGTGTTTATTTATCTTATATTCATTTTAGGAATTTCAGTCGTAAATTTTGAAAAATTGCTAAAGAATTTTAAAATGTGAAAGCAATTTAATTACATAGTACAAGAATGTATCATAATGCAACGGCTATAAGTAGCTACAATATGATAATTAAAGCGTTATTATTTTGCATTATCATTTAATTTAGTAAATCGTTCATATGTATAATAATTAACGAATATGAGCCGATTAAACTGCTTTTTGTTAAAAGTAAAAGGGTATAATAAGGTAGTAATTCAAGAGTTTGGAAAGTTGTAACTTTCCAAGAACGGATTTTTTCCGCAGTTGCATCTTGCAGGTGCAGCATAACACTCGCAGAAAAAGAGGGATCATAGAAAGTTGAACTGCCTTATACTATTCAAGTTTTCCTCCCATCATTTTTTTTCTGTCTTCAACCATGAGGATATACGACTTCATCCATTTTCTAAAGTCATATTACATAGTATTAAATGATGTAGTACCGAGGAGATTTCAAATATCCGGAAGAATTTAAATCAAGAAGACTTGTGATATTTTTTCAAGAAATATCTTGATTTTTAAAGAAAGAATTTAATATTATTTTCTGTAAAAATGTATTATATGTATATAAACATAATGATTTACTGTATAAAATGTCATTATACATTCCACAGATTAAAGCTTATTCCTATTTAGAGAACTTTTTTTAATTCTTGCTTGGTAAACTTTACAACAAAATTAATGAACAATATTTTCGTAAAACAATTAGACGTTTCACTTTTAAAAAGAATAACACGAACAATTTTTTAATAAAGTGTATATGAAACTATGACGATACAAAATTCCTCCATTTCTATTCGTGCAATATACTGGCACAATTTCGTTCAACAAGGAAGTACCCACAATCCCATCAGAACGCCAAAGAACCTTTAAAATCTCGTCGGGACGCGCTTTCCCGATTCCAATTTCAGGAAAATATCCAACCGTTAAAGGCAGTTCATGTCGAGAAAGAAAAAAGAAGGGAAAGAAAGCAGAAAAAACAAAAGGTCACTTCGGGAATATGAAGAAACCATGAACGCGTGCACATAAGCTCATCGGAAGATCATAGAATCCTTAAAACTCGCCAGAAAGTACTCTCCCACTTCCAATTTCAAGAGAATATCCTCCCGTTAAAGGCGGTTCATAGCCGAAAAGAAAGAAGCAGGAAAAGGAGCCAAAAAACCAAAAAAACACTACGAATACGCAGAAACCATGAACACGCGTACGTAAGCCCATCGAAAGATCACGGAATCCTTAAAAACTCGCCGGGAAGCGCACTCCCGATTCCAATTCCGAGAAAATGTTCAACCCTTAAGGTCACTTCACTCCCCTAACAAAAAACCCCAAAGAAAAAGAAAAAGAAATTAAAAGAACACAGAATTACTCGACGAATATGAAGAAACCACGAACGCGTGATCCCTCCAGAACATGGCGGCATCCTTAAGCTCTCGCCGGGAATCTAAATTCCAATTTCAAAAAAATATTCAACTATGATTTCCTCCGTTACTCCACTCGCCAAGATATTCTATTCAATAATTTACCAGAGAAATTAGGAATTTTATTTCCATTCCAAATCTACGCTTCAAATCGCAACAACCGATGGCGGATAAACGATATTTAATTTAAACTCAAAAGAATCGAGTGCCACTCGTATGTACTCAGTTTCCTTCGAAATCTTCGCTACCAATGCGATGTTACAAGGCAAGGGGTTAAAGGCAGACCGTTCGCCCTCGAAAAAACGAGTCTAAACAAAACGAAAGCGAAGAACCGAAAAAGAGAAAACAGTCCGCGAATATGAGGAAACCACGAACGCGTGTAGCGCGGTCGAAGGGGTGGTTAGAAGGCAGCAGTAAGACGTTCGCAGTTAGGGTGAA